GAAAACAGTGGTGCTGCACAATATTTCTGTGGAAACCGTGAAACGTTTTATTTTTCACGATTCACAGATGAACAGAAAGTTCAAAAGAACAGCATTTATTTGAAATAAAAACGTTTGTGACGTCTCGTCTGCAGTAAACTGTGTAACGTGTTGGATCGTCACTGAGAGCGTGGTGAAGAGGACGGGATTCTTCGTTAATAGACCTGACTTTTATTGCCACACGTTACGTCCTGATGAAAGGTAAATGCACACATTTAAATGACCTTTACAACAACACATCCGTTTGTTTAATGTGAGCTTTATTATATAATAGCTTTATTCCACAAAAGCAAAGTCTGTTTCAGCAGCTGCATCACACGCTAAAGGTGCAAGAAATAAACTAATCAGTCTTAAGACCGTGTAAATAATGTTATGTATTTAATAACAAATGTGACTCATTTAAATTCACATTTATGTGATAGAAATGCCCTGTTCCGTCAAACCTGTTTTTACATGCAAATGAGGTTGCCGAATATTCCGAAATGCTTGCCGTAGGGGTTTATCAGAGCACTAAATTAAAGGAACAGGTCTCCCAAAAATGAAAATTTGCTTAGGATTTACTCACCCTCAAGTCATCCAATATGTAGATGAGTTTGTTTCTTCTTCAGATCTGGAGAAATGTAGCATTGCATCAGTGTCTCAGCAATGGATGCTCTGCAGTGAATGGGTGCCGTCAGAATGAGAGACCAAACAGCTGAAAAAAACATCACAATGATCCACAGCACTCCAGTCCATCAGTTAACATCTTGAGAAGACAAAAGCTGAAACAAATACAGCATTAAGACGTTTTTGACGTTTTTAACGTTAACTGATAGTGGTGTTAGTAGTTCAGTGTCACATGATCCTTCATTTTTGGTGTTGTTTTGACAGACGGGAGTTTTGAGGACTGTCTGGATCGAACCAACACCGCTCAGTTCATGGTGGGTAAATGTGCTCTGGCGTATCAGCTCTACGCTCTCGGGATGACCGACAAACCCAAGCTTCAGTTCGACACAGACTGTGTCAGGTATTTGCTCAAACACGCATTACAGCAGTCAGGCACTCTTTCTGTCGCACTGATGTTGTTTATGTGTGTGCAGGTTATTCGAGGAGCTGTACGAGGATCACAGCGACACGCTGTCTTTACAGTACGGAGGATCTCAGCTGGTGCATCGAGTGAAGACGTACCGTAAGATCGCTCCCTGGACGCAGCACTCCAAAGACATCATGCAGACGCTCTCCCGTTACTATAGCAACGCCTTCTCAGGTAAACACCTGAACACCTGGATGCTGCTTTCATCTGTAGTCCAAGGTGGTACGCAAGGTTATAATAGTTTAGAATTTTTTAATTCGTTTTATTTTAATATCGTTTGGTTTTTATTAGTTTCATTTAATATTTTAGTTTTTATTTTGTGAACACATTTTTATTTATTTTTTATTAGTGCTGTGAAACGGTTAATCGCGATTAATCGCATCCAAAACAAAAGTTTTTGTTTACATAGTATATGTGTGTGTACTGTGTATATATAAATACACACACATGCATATATATATTTAAGAAAAATATGTAACCCTTGAGCACAAAACCAGTCATAAGGGTTCATTTTTGGAAATGTAGATTTATACATCATCTGAAAGCTGAATAAATGAGCTTTCCATTGATGTATGGTTTGTTAGGATAGGACAATATTTGGAAATCTATTTAATCTATTTTAAACTATTTGAAAATCTGGAATCTGAGGGTGCAAAAAGCACTAGTTTTTATATAGTTTAGTTTCAGTTTTAACTAAAGTTTAGCAGAATTAATGGATCACTTCCAGAACACAGGCCAAAGAAAGACGTAGGCATAATTTAATCTTAGTGAGGCAAACGTCTATAGCGACACAAAATTAATGCATGCTGAGATTGATTAGATGGTAAAAGTATACAAATATACACCAAAATTAAGCAGTCATGCCTTTTTAAATCTACACAAGTTGCGCTTACAACCCTTGAGCACAAAACCAGTCATAAGGGTTCATTTTTGGAAATGTAGATTTATACATCATCTGAAAGCTGAATAAATGAGCTTTCCATTATGTCATATCTAATGATGTGTGTTGAGATATTTCATATGAAAATAAATGTAGTCTAATTTGGTTATGATGGTCTTATTTAACCATAATCATGATTATTTATTTTTGATAATAGTTTTATTTCAGTTAGTTTTTCAATAACTGTTGTTAGTTTCGTTTCGTTATAGTTTTTCATTTATTTTGACATTTTTATTTTATTTCAGTTTACGAAATAGTTTTTTCATCAATCGTTTTCGTCTTAGTTTTAGTTTTTGTTGACGAAAATAACCTTGGTTGTACGGCATGGTATATATAATTATATATAATTTTATTTGTTTTACTACACAACTGGTCAAAAATTAGGAATAATTAAATTTTTATTCTTCTGCTGACCAAGGCAGCATTTATTTGATCCGAAATATGTTAAAAACTATGCAAAAATATTACAATTTAATATAGCTGTTTTCTATGTGAATATGTGTTAAACTGTCATTTATTCCTGTGATGCGCAGCTGAATTTCCAGCATCATTACTCCAGTCTTCAGTGTCACATGATCTTCAGAAATCATTCTAATATGCTGATTTCTTTTATTTCAGTTTACGAAATAGTTTTTTCATCAATCGTTTTCGTCTTAGTTTTAGTTTTTGTTGACGAAAATAACCTTGGTTGTACGGCATGGTATATATAATTATATATAATTTTATTTGTTTTACTACACAACTGGTCAAAAATTAGGAATAATTAAATTTTTATTCTTCTGCTGACCAAGGCAGCATTTATTTGATCCGAAATATGTTAAAAACTATGCAAAAATATTACAATTTAATATAGCTGTTTTCTATGTGAATATGTGTTAAACTGTCATTTATTCCTGTGATGCGCAGCTGAATTTCCAGCATCATTACTCCAGTCTTCAGTGTCACATGATCTTCAGAAATCCTGTGAATCCTGAAAAATAAAATGTATCACGGTTTCCACAGAAATATTGTGCAGCACGACTGTTTTCAACATTGATGATAATCAGAAATGTTTCTTGAGCAGCAAATCAGCATATTAGAATGATTTCTGAAGATCATGTGACACTGAAGACTGGAGTAATGATGCTGAAAATACAGCTGCGCATCACAGAAATAAATTACAGTTTAACAGATATTCACATAGAAAACAGCTGTTTTAAATTATAATTATATTTCACAATTGTTGCTGTATTTTTTATCAATACATGCAGCCCTGGTGAGCAGAAGAGACGTCTTACAAAAATATAACAAATGAAATTATTCCAAACTTTTGACCGCTAGCATATATATTTAACTAATTTATTTTATTTTATTGCTTTTATTTATATTTTTCATGATTAAGCACATTTAAATTCCAGATTCTCATTACAGTAATGCAAAAAAAATTTGATTTTCAAAGATTTTTCATAATTTTTTTTTCCCACATACCCGTCTATAGAAATGTGTGTATTACATAATATGATGTTAATGTGTCACGTTTCATAAGTTAATGATGGTCTGGAGAGAGAGAGAGCGGGCGAGAGACCTATGTGAGCCATTATATTCTCCACCGACATTCTCTCATTCTCTCCTTCATGAATTATTCATATCTGGCTTTGTGCTGATGGGCCGCTTTGTGTGAATTATAATGATTACATTTATAAATGGCCGATCTCACATGTGATTTGCCCTGTGCAGAGCTGAATCGATTAGGAAACGTGCGAATGCGCCGCATGCAGTGGCTTATTGTCAGGTTTTGCTGTATAAGAAGTGATTTTCTGAAATCACTCTGCATTTGGATGACGTTGTTGAGTTTTTCCATGTTTATTGTGTTTCATTTATTATATTTCCTGACATGATTGGATCTTTTATAGGCCTGTGTGTCGGTATAGCAACAACCCAGTTCTAGTCTCCGTGGTTACAGCGTCTCCAAACTCGAATCCCATTGGTCGATGGTGAATGTTATTGGGTCACACGGTTTGTTTTCCCGTAATTCTGCATTTGAACGCTCACCGCGTCATCGCTGCCTCGCAGGAGTTCGGTTTGCGCACACAAACGCTCATGTTGTGGTCTAAATTGCTTGATGTTCTCATAATAACGTTATGATTTTAGGATATGAGTGAAATGTAATGTAACCCTGAAATTTGCTGTAATTGCCGTTTGGTTAATTGGCGAAGGCACCGCATTCCAATCAAGTGCTGTAATTATATTGCACCCTTGTGAACGGTTTCGCCGTCAGCGACGCAGCATGGTTTACATAAACAAACAAGTGTGTGTGTGTGTACCTGTTTTTATATCCCGGTGGGGAGTTAAACCTGAATACACACAGACTCATGGGGACTCGTGTCACTGTGGGGACCTAAATTGATGTCCCCATGGATAAACAAGCTTATAAATCATACAGAATTAATTTTTTTTTAAATCTAAAAATGCAGAAAGTATGGGGTAGGTTTAGGTATAGGGCGATACAATAAACGGTCTGTACAGTAGAAGAACCATTACGCCTCTGGAATGTTCCCACAAGGATAGCTAACCAGACTCTGTGTGTGTGTGTGTGTGTGTGTGTGTGTGTGT